CTTTCGCTACTATTATATCCCTCATTGGAATCGGAATGATAAAAAATAAAATTTTCTTTTTTCTCTCTTGGCTATTAAAGTCAGTGATCTATTGGGGCTATGGTTATGTCATATCCCTTTCTGTTCCCCTCATAAGTTCTATTTTGAAAACCATAGATCAATTTGATGCTATCCCACTAACATTGGCCATAACCTTTTTTTCAATTTTCAAACTTTTATTCTCCAACTTAAAATTTTACAATTTTATTATACCATTTAGTACCTTATTTATATATCGTGCATTTTGGAATCGAACTTATTTTTTTGCTTTTGACTTATACTTTGCTTCAACATTTCTTATCATTATCTTAATTCAACTCATCTTGAAAATTTTTTTGTGGATCAATATGGAAATTTGCCTTAAAATCCTATCCTTCAGTCAAATTTTCTTATATTACCCTGAAGTCTTTCATGCTATTTATTCAAATGCTCTTTTTCGTGTCATTGGGGATTTTGAATTTAAAACTATTGTCAAATTATGTACATCTAGAGCTTCAAATATTATAATCAATATTAGTGAAAAGGGTTTCTTAAACATAAGTAAGGATGGTATTGAAACAGATGCTCGAAATTTTCACAAATATTTATTTACGGGTTACATGTTATTGCCCGATGAACACCCAAGAACTTTTAAATTTCACAAATTCTCTCAGTTGTTTCATCCAAAAAGATGTATTAGGCAATTCTGTTATTTTATAATAAGAACATGCTTTTGCACTTTTGTTTGTTCATTCGCTTCTTTTTTGACCTATATTATGTTAGTTTTTATAAAAAAATCATCATCTGATAAAGTTTCTGTATTTCTTATATTCGCTATAGTTTTTCAATTAGTAACGATTTTTGCATCCGCAAAACACTTCCGTATTTTTGTTTATACATGTGTTAGTTTCTTTCATTTAATTCATAGTTTACCCATCGATGACATACGATTTGAATTTTATTTTATTTTACCAACTTTTTATTGCATTTTAATTATTAGTATAGCATTCCGTCTATTTATGTTTGTTCTTATCCTTTTAACCGGTAAACAAATTATTTATCCTTCTCTTGTCTCTCCAGTATTCAAAGTATTTCTTTCATTAGCATTATTAAGAAGTACCTCCAGTGCAGAATCACAAGCTATCGACGAATGGTATAATAATCATTCTACCCGCGTAAGATTGCACATATGCTGTAAAAATCCTGCAATGAATCGCATCGAAACAATTCAGAAAAAAGAACCAGTTCCTGAAAAAGAGCCAGATTCGGATCCGGAAAAAGAGCCAGAACCTGATCCAGAAAAAGAGCCGGAGTTTGATCTGGAAAAACAATCAAAGTCGAATTCGACATGTTTGGACATACCGAAACAACCAAATATACAACTAAAATCGAATTCGGAACCAAAATCGGATTCGATATGTTTGGACATACCAAACTCGGATTCGATATGTTTGGACATACCAAAATCGGATTCGATATGTTTGGACATACCAAAATCGGATTCGATATGTTTGGACATACCAAAATCGAATTCGGAAAATACAGCTCCACAGGTTAAGGGTAGCTGCCTTCTCACGTCGTATAAAATTTTAATGAAATTCATACGTCAATGCCCTATGTTCTTTTATAATCTAATACATGAACCTGAAATCGAAGATTTCGATATGGATATTGACGTATTCAATTTTGCAATATATTTATTACTCGAGATGAAGTTTTTCGCAGTTAGACGCTTTATGTAACCAGAGGTCATTGTTAATATCGCATGAATTGCTTATTTTATTGTTAATAGTATATTCGAGATTTTTTTAATTAATTTAAAACAATGCGAAAACTATAAATTGCTTTAAAAGTTTTAGCATTAATCTTTAATTACTATATTTAGAATAATTTAAACAAATTTAAAATAATTATTTCGTGTTGAATAAAATTCTTGACCATTTATAAAAAGTTTTTGCTAGGGATGTTAAGTGGTCTTTAAGGGGCTAGTTCGGACCGGGTCCAGACCAGACTTTTAGGGGACTAGTTCAGAGCTGGTCCGAACTAACCCAAAATTAACATGATATTAAATAAGTGTCTTTTTTGACACATCGAATAAAAATTTTTTTTGAATCAATAACAGAACTTTTTAAATTGCCATAATTTTAAACTAGACTAGTTGAGCGATTAATAACTTAATATCATACTCCGATTGGTTAACTCTAAATCAAATATTATTTCTGTTTTTCAATCATAAAATAAAATTAGCATAATTACTAGGGGTCTGCAACCCGGGCTCGTTAGGGTGATCATCAAACTAATCAAATCAAACCATAAGTAGCCATTATATATACTAATTACTATTTGAATATTTTTTATGAAAATCCGAATTTACTGCGGGTAATAACAACTTTCGGTACACTTTTCTCTTGAACTAACATAATAATTCCTAGTTTAATTTGTTGTAAACAATATTTTAATTTGCCTAGAATAGTGTAATAGAGGCATTTTTTCGGTTTATTTCTTTTACGAGTAGCAATTCTT